AAAAAAAAAAAAAAAAAAAAAAAAAAAAAAAAAAAAAAAAAGACCCACAAAGTCTCTGCTGTGAGAGAAGGATTCTTGAATGAGACAGTGGGATTTCAGTGAAGGAGGGGGAAAAAAAATTCCAGTTTAGGTAGGAAGCAAGAGAGAAGACAGAAGGATACATTTGCAAGACTGATTTTCTGTTTGGGGAAATGGGTTCAGTACGTGCAAAATCACGTAAAGCAGACTCGCATCAGGGTTTGGATGTGAGAGTAATTCTGGTTACAGATACAGAGGCATCATCGCTAACTCCATCAGACGTTATCGTATGTATAGGAAAAGGCCAAAACTCAGGCCATTTATCTTTTTTATTATACTTTAAGTGTATACTATATCCAGCATTTCTCCCCATGTTATCCCTCCCCACCCTGCCCCCCCACCTCGCTGTTCCTCCCCTACTCCCCCAACTGCCCCCAGTGTATGATGCTCCCCTCCCTGAGTCCACGTGTTCTCATTGTTCAACACCCACCTATGCGTAAGAATATTCGGTGTTTGGCTTTCTGTTCTTGTGTCAGTTTGCTGAGAATGATGGCTTCCAGATTCATCCAAGTCCCTACAAAGGACACGAACTCATCGTTTTTTATGGCTGCATAATATTCCATGTTCTTTTAAGGAATTTAGCGACTCAGGAGACGGGGTGGAGGAGGGAGAGGGGCGTGTACTCTGTCCTATTGTGTCTGCAAAGCATCTTTCCCGAGAGTGAAATAGCTGCCCGAAGAAAGAGTCAGGGGCTTTGTGAAATGTTGCTGGCAAACAGATGAGAAAACGTGGCTTCTTATGTTTGCTGCTTAGTTTTGCAGTAGGGAGCTTTGAAAACTAAGCTGATAAATTTAAACAAGGTGGCATTCAGAAGTCATCAGGCAGCTTAAGCGACAAAGTGACATGAAATACTTTCAGAGAGAGTGAGGCTGGAGCTTGTTGAGAACACAGCCCGGGAGGCCAGACGGGAGACTGCTACCAATGACCCAGACACAGGTGACGGGACTGGAGTAAGAAAATAGTAACAGATAATCACCGGCATCTTCCTGATTCAAGGCGCTTTGCTGGGTACTAGGAATATAGGATGAATAAGGCTGGATGAATCATCTTCAAGGAGCTTGCAGTCTACTGTAGAAGACAGACGGGTGTGTAAAGTGTCTAAAGATAGCAGGATAGCAGCCACAAGAGAAGTATTTATAAGAAATAATGGAACAAGTAACAGCTGGGATAGTTGGTGAAGACTTCATAGAAGCATAGTGAGTGTGATAGACAGTGTGTGACAGGTTCTTGACTGGGCCTGGGGACACATGGGACCTGGGAGTTAAAGGAGAAGGAAGAGCTGAAGCTGGCCATGGAAGCAGAAATACACATTTTGAAAGCAGACTCCAAGATACCAGGCAGGGACTGTCCTTCCCGGGTATGAAGGAAAGGCCTGGCAGCTCCAGCGTTTCTCACTTAGAGAACCTGGGAATGGTGATGTTATAGACAAGACAAGATAATGATAATAATAATCAGTAATGATGGCCAAGCACAGTGGCTCACACCTGTAATCCCAACACCTTAGGAGGTGGGGGTGGGAGGATCGCTTGAGGCTAGAAGTTCGAGAACAGCCTGGGCAACAGAGCCAGACCCCATCTCTACATACATGTTTTTAATGATTATGAATACTTACTGTATGTCAAGTTCTGTTCATCATTATCATAAACACATGGGAATTGCTGTTATTCTCATTTTGTGGAGCAGAACCGAGACATAGAGAAGAGGCAGCAGAGTTATACTGCAAATGCAGGCCTGCCTTCTTAAACCTTATACTACGCTGCCTGAGGAAGTCTACGTGCAGGAAAGTGATGCATCTGAAATAAATAACAAGGTTTTGTAAACTACTTTTGCATTAGCCCTAAGACACTTTCCCATGGTGGTGACTTCTTGTCAATCCCCAGTAAATAAAAATCTCCAGGGGCTCCAGTCTGACTCCTTCCTGGTGGGAAGAGAAGATGCCTGTCCTCTCCATGGAGGACCCTGGGTCCTCACCGCAGGCAGCAGTTTGGGTTTTGAAAGGTTACTGGGTCCCTTCCTTGGGCTGTGTTCTTGCTGGTAAGAAAAGTGTTGCCCACAAAAATAAGACACAGAACATACTCTTTAAAAAAAATCTCCAAATGTTGACAAATGAAGGGAGGGTCATTGTGATTGCTCAGCATGAAGCTTCAGTGAAGAGATGACCAGCACACGCTTTAAAGGCTTCCACAAAAGCTTCTCATGCCTGAGTCCCTGGCCAAGCATGTGAGATGGGCAGGGTGAGACATGCAGAGAGTCTGGGGCCCCCTGCTCCCCTACAGTTCATGAAAGACATAAAGCAGCTCCTCAATCTACATGAGATCATGTTTAGTACAATTGAGTAATACCCAGCATAGGTTAGCATTTGAGCTATTTGCTGCCCACTCAGAAATTACATTCGGGAAAAACTATCAAATGATGCTGTAGGAGACCCCATTTTGTGATACTATTCATTTCTATTTGGAAATACTGACTCAATTCTGAACATAGAGTCAGCATGGCGGCTGGTGGTTGCTATCGTGGAGGAACATTTTCCAGTGTTATTCTTGGTCTCGGCTTTATCAGGGTACAGAAGAGACTGCAGGTAGTTAATGTACTTGATCGCAGCTCTGAGGGTTTCCACTTTGCTGAGTCGTTTCTCCAAATACTCCTCTGGCAGATGATGGCGGAGCTGGGCATAGCCTTCATTGACACATTTCACCCGCTGCCTTTCCCGCTCGTTCCTTTTCCGGATGAAGGCCGGTCCGTAGGAGTACTCACACCTTCTGTAATTTGGATAAGGCATTGGGAAAGAGAAGGGGCAGGGTTCACCATAATTTCCCATGATGAGGGAGTCACTGGGAAAAGGCAGCAGTGGCAGCTCCTCAGAATAAGGGGGCAGCACCGGGGCCTCCGGGTGCAGGTGGAAAGTGACTGTGGGCTCCAGATAGAAGGACCTGGTCATTGGCAAGCAGGCAGAATTGGAGAACATAGGAAGTTTGTCAGGCAGACTAGAGTTGCTTCTGTTGTCCATCATTTCCTCTTTAACCTGCAAACATAACCAAGTGTATCAATTTGGTCAGATTGAAAAAGCAGATATCATCTACTTTCTTGGAGATCAATGTTTCAGAGACTTTTCTGCTTTGATGACTAATTTCTGGGCTCATGTGGACAAGAAGATGGTGTTATAATATGCTGTGTGTAGTAAGGATTTTTGATGGTACACAGAAACAGCACTCAATACCATTGAATCGCCTTGTGAGAAAGTTATTCTCCTTCAATTCCCTTTCAATCCTTGTGGTTACAAAGATACAACCTTAGTCTGCTGAGAATGTGTCTTCCACACCACACCGCTAGAATTCTTTCTTTTTCTTCTCTTTCTTTATTTTTATTTTTGAGACAGGGTCTGGCTCTGTCACCCAGACTGGAGTACAGTGGTGCAATCATGGCTCACTGGAGCCTCAACTTCCCAGGTTCAAGCAATCCTCCTGCCTCAGCCTCCCAAGTAGCTGGGACCATAGGCAGGCATCACCACACCTGGCTAAGTTTTATATTTTTTTGTAAGGACAGAGTCGTGCCATGTTGCCGAGGCTGGTCTCAAACTCCTGGGCTCAGGCATTCTACCTCCCTCGGCCTCCCCAAGTGCTGGGATCATACACTGGGAGCCACTGTGCCTGGCTTAGAATGCTTTCTAATCCTCCTAAAATCAAAGCCTTCAACAAGCAATAGCATCCAGCTAGAATTCAGTATATTTATTAAGTTCTATTTATTGTGAGTTCTAGTAATTTTACATTTATGACAGCGATATAAAACTTTTCTTTTTGAGACAGAATCTTGCTCTGTCGCCAGGCTGGAGTGCCAAGTCATGCTCTCAGCTCACCGCAACCTCTGCCTCCCTGGTTCAAGCGATTCTCCTGCCTCAGCCTCCCGAGTGGCTGGGATTACAGGCACCCGCCACCACACCCAGCTAATTTTTGTATTTTTAGTAGAGATGGGGTTTCACCATGTTGGTCATGATGGTCTCAATCTCCTGACCTTGTGATCCGCCGGCCTCAGCCTCCGAAAGTGCTGGGATTACAGGTGTGAGCCACCAAGCCCAGCCAAAGTTCCTCTTAAAACTAAATCTTCTTTAGTAAGAAAACGTGATTTGATCTAAAGAAAAAGAGTGAGTAGCTAATAGTACAGATGGAACACCGGTATAATGGTGATCGTGAAGGCAGGTGCAAATAAAAAGATGCAGGGAAACACTGAAACACCACAATATTCAAATATATGCTAGGGAAATTAAGAGCTAGCTAATGATCATGCAAACCTCAGAGGCATAGCCTTCTTAAGTAATACCTGAAGTGCTAGAGGGAAAACCGAAAACACAAATAAAAAAGGAATCGTTTGCTCTTAAATGGGACTTCCTTAGGTGAGAAATGTCCCCTACACATTTAAAACAAAGTCAATTTACAAATTTTACATATGTAGAACTGTAAATATATTGAATAAAGTGCATCTATGTTTATGTTTTTTAAAGTTTTTACTCATTTTATATTTTTATTTTTAGACACAGTGTCTTGCTCTGTCAGCCAGGCTAGAGTGCAGTGATGTGATCATGGCTTACTGCAGCCTCAAACTCCTGGGCTCGAGTGATCCTCCTGCCTCAGCCTCCTGAATACCTAGGACTGCAGGTGTGTACCACCATGCCTGGACATTTTTGTAGAGATGGGGTCTTGTTTTATTTCCCAGGCTGATCTTAAACCTCCTAGTTTCAAATGATCCTCCCAAGTCAGCCTCCCACAGCACTGGGATTACAGGCATGAGCCGCTTCACCCAGCCTATGATTAGGTTTTGTTGGTTTTGTGTGTCTGTGTTTTTGTAGAACTCGAGGATGAAGCCGTGTAACCCGGGAGATCCCACCCCAACGCATTTCTTCTTTATGAATAGGTCTACATCCATCTCTTGTTTTAAACCACCGTTACTTTTCGCCTTTGACTGTAATCAAATAGCAACAACAGATTTTACGGAGGCACTGCAGTGTAGACAGTTAACTGGGAGGCAGAGTAGTAGTGTAGAAAAAGAGCTTTTTCTCTCAGTCATAACACCCTCAGGTTTCAATATGGCCTTACCCTGTCCTAGCTATGTGTCCTTAGGCAGGTGTCTTAACCTCTCTGTGCTTTTGCTTTTCCCCATGTACAGTTGAGCTACTAACTATTCTGCAGGGTGGTTGTGAGGATAAAGTGGGAAAAAAACAAAAACAACAACAGTTGACCCTCCGTATTGGCGAGTTCCACATCTGTGGATTCAACCGTGGGTGGAAAATATTCAGGGGAAAAAAAGGGATGGCAGCATGGGTAGTGAATACACACAGACGTTTTTGCTTGGCATTATCCTGTAAAGAATATAGTGTAACAAGTATTTGTATAGAACGTACATTGTATTAGGTATTTATAAGTAACCTAGAGATGATCAAAAGTGTTTGAGAGGGTGTATGTAGGTTATATGGAAGTGCTATGTTATTTTCTATAAGTTGGACCTCTGTGGATTTTGGTATCTGAAGGGAGTCCTGAACCCAACCCCCCATTTCAGAGGGGTGACTGTGCATATAATGCACCCAGCATTTGCCTCTTTCCTTTCTTTAGAGATGAATGAATGCTTACGTGAGCGTTCCTTTCTAAACTGCACCTTGTAGAAAACCTGGTTTGTTTTCCTTAACACTGTAGAGTTGCAACACTGATCTATCCTAAACACCTGTGTTGAGAGATGAAGAACCTACCTAAAACAGAAAAGAAAAAGCAGCTTGAAGTCTAATTGTGGGCTTCCATCAAAAAAGGAAATATGGCATTAATTTCTCAGCAAGTTAATTTTTCAACATCTTTAGAAGTGAGGGGTTGTCTGTGATTGTCATACTAAACACACACACACACACACACACACACACAGATACACACACACACACACACACACACACACACACGCACCAAACAGTCCTAATGTTTAAGATTAGATAATATTGGCACTTATTCCTCTACCTCGGTACAGCAAAACCTGGGCAGGCTGCACTGTGTAGTGGGAGGAGCAGCCCCTAAGACCCGAATTCAAGTAGGAAGGTCAGGGGAGTGGGGAACCAGCCCGGGCCGCAGGGGCAGGGGTGCTGGCAGGGACGGGTGGCCGGGGGTGCAGGGTTATAGCAAGTCACGGTGAAGAGGCTGGAAAAGAAGCCAATGCCAGGAAAAGCTCTTCTTAAAGGGGATGGGGCTGGGGGGATGAGATAAGTGGGATAGGTCCAATTTAAATCAAAACAGAGAAGCAGGAAATGAAATATTCCAAATTACTGACCAAATGACCTAAAATAACTAACAAAACAAAAATCTCTGGAAAATTAAAAATTAGCCAGGATTCTGTCAAAAATGAAAAGTTGCTGAGAAACACATTAGGAAATTCCCAAGCCAGGAATTCTAGAGGGTAAGAGAGAGAGAACGGGTGTGGCAGAAGCTGCAAAATGGTGGCAATGGGCGTGGAGCCCGTATTACTGCATTTCTGACACCAGCAGAGCCTTGTTGTGGCCGTAGTTAACAAGCCAAAATGGATGAACAGGTTACCAAAAAGTAAAGCAGGTGTCATCATGAAACCTAATTACACAAAATCATTATTTTAGTGACTGTTTTTTTCACCCTAAAAGATTATATGAACAATATCTTAAATCTTGACCCAGATGAAATCTGAGTAATTTGTATATGCCGCAGGTAATTAAAACTTGCTAGGTTTTAACAATACTCTGCATAATTCCTGAGAAAAGAGCATGGTGTCTCTGGAGACACATTGATGAGAAGTTTTTTCTGTCAAGCCTTTCCAATAAGTTCACCAATCAATGTGGTAGCATTTAAATATGATCACCTTTTATTCAAAGAAGAAAATTTAAGACAACAGAGTAAGAAAATGAAATAAAATGCAACAATAAGGAGACTCGAGATAGAAAGCCTAGAGGGGTCTGGATGTGTTTGTAGGAATTGAGTGTAAGTTTTTTTAAAAAAGCAACATAGATTGGTCGTGCTGGGACTCCATGGTTCCAGGCACAGACACAGCTAACAAACACACCTATCTTGGGAAAATCTCGGGTTCTGTCTTAGAGCAATTATGGGAAACAAATGATGAGGTCTTAATGATTAAATCCTAAGAGATTCTAGATGCTCTGCTGAGCATAAAACTTCAAATTTCAGAGATACAAAAGATATGTAGCATGTAAGAAATAAACAGCTGTAACTGCAGATGTAATTCAATTATGGAATGTGAGAGCTGGGAGGAAGCTTAGAAATTCTTCATAGGTTGTGGTATGTTGCTGAGGTTACAAAGCTAGTAGCAGAGCAGGGGCCAGTGTCCCGACTTCCAAATCAAAACTCCTTCCGTTCTTCTAGATGATTTAATTGCCAGCAAAACCTGGATCTTCCACTATATGGCCAATAATTGGGTTTAAGATAATAGAATAATCAGATAGCTGACAAAATTCAGTATTTATCAACTGTGCCTAGCAATTTTCTCAAAAATCATATTCTTCAGAAAACTAAACACCACATGTTGTCACTCATAAGTGGGTGTTGAACAATGAGAACACATGGACACAGGGAGGGGAACACACACTGGGGTCTGTTGCGGGTGGGAGGTAGGGAAGGGATAGCAGGGGGTGGGGAGATTGGGGAGGGATAGCATTGGGAGAAATACCTAATGTAGGTGATGGGGGTTGGGGGGATGGAGGCAGCAAATCACCATGGCATGTGTATACCTATGTAACAATCCTGCACAATGTGCACATGTACCCCAGAACTTAAAAAAAAAGAAAAATCATGTTCTTATTCTTCCCCAAGGGCCACTCTGGAGAAAAGTCTCTTACCTGAGTTTTGTCGTCAGGATGCTGTGTTTAGGGCTGAGTTAGAGTTAACCTGATTTATAGGTGATCATTTAATAACAATATGCAAAGTAGCTTATAGTTAAACAGAACTGCTCAGTTCTGGTTTGGCTGTTTTTCCTACCCAAGATGTAGATATGACAACACAGACAATACTAAACAGAAAGGTTTGCTTACAAAACTGGATAGTTGTAACAAATTCTTTTGTTTAAAGAATGTCCCATTCTTCTGAGTTATATGATATTATGTCAAAATTATTTATGGAGCAATAGTCTCATAATGTGCAAATACTGGTCAGTATTCCTTTAGACAGATTAAGGCCAGAACTAGGAAGGTCAATATGAACTTATATCTTTTTTTTTTTTTTTTTTTACTGTTTATTTCTTTAAAGCCAGTCAAATTTAGCAGTGGGGACATTAGTGACATGAATGTGGATGTTAAATTCTGATAACCCAATATCATAGGAACTAGCCAGTATCTTTTTCTTAAATAGCCATTTTATTTTTTCTTCTTAAGTATATTTTTATCTTTTAAAAAATGTGAATGTTAGAAGCATGGCTTCTTTCTTTCTTTAGAGACAAGGTCTCACTCTCTAGCCCAGGGTAGAATGCAGTGGTATGATCACAGCTCATTGCAGCCTCCACGTCCTGAACAGCTGAGACAAGTGTGAACCACCCTACCTGGCTAATTTTTGTATTTTTTATAGAGATGAGGTCTTGCCTTGTTGCCTGGCCAGTCTTGAACTCTTGGGCTCAAGCAATCCCACCCAAAGTGCTGGGACTGCAGACCACTGCACCCTGCTAACTTTAATTTTTTTTTTTTTTTTTGAGACAAGAGTTTTGCCGTTTTTGCCCAGGCTAGAGTGCAGTGGTGTGGTCTTGGCTCACTGCAGCCTCTGCCTACCAGGCTCAAGTGATTTTCCTGCCTCAGCTGCCTGAGTAGCTGGGATTACATGCACGTACCACTACACTCAGCTAATTTTGTATATATATTTTTAAGATGGAGTCTAGCTCTGTTGCCCAGGCTGGAGTGCAGTGGCAGAATCTCAGCTCACTGCAACCTCCTTCTCCTGGGTTCAAGTGATTCTCTTGCCTCAGCTTCCTGAGTAGCTGGGGCTACAGGTGTGCACCACCACGTCCCCCTAATTTTTGTATTTTTAGTAGAGATGGGGTTTCACCACTTTGGCCAGGCTGGTCTCGAACTCCTTACCTCAGCCTCCCAGTGTGATCCACCCACCTCAGCCTCCCAGAGTGCTGGGATGACAGGCGTGAGCCACTGCGTCCAGCCTAATTTTGTATTTTTAATAGAGATGGGGTTTCACCATGTTGGCCAGGCTGGTCTGGAACTCCTAACCTCTGGTGATCTGCCCGCCTTGGCCTCTCAAAGTGCTGAGATTATAGGCGTGAGCCATCACGCCCGGCCCCAACTTTAATTTTTAAAGCAGTTGTAGGGTCAAAGCAAAACTGAACACAAAGTAGAGCCAATTCTCATATACTCCCTGCCCCCATGCCTGCATGGCCTCCTCTGCTGTGAACATTCCACATCGTTATGGTACTGTGTTAGAACTGATTAAGCTGCATTCACACATTATCACCCAAAGTCCATAGTTTACATTAGGGCTCACTCTTGGTGTTACACATTTACATTCTGTGGGTTTTGAGAAGAATTTAATGACAAGTATTCACCATTCTGGTATAATACAGAACAGTTTCACTGCCTAAACAGCCTGTGCTCTGCCTATTCATCCCTCCTTCTTTTCTAACCCCTTGCAACCACTGATTTTTTTTTCATCAATAATTATATTTTATTGTGTTCTGAATTTAAATAAATTCCTCTTAAATATTAAAATTGTGTATGCTTACAATATTATTCAAATTTGCAGTAAAAATAAGAAAACTGTCTTAAGTTGTATAAAACCTCTGCAAAGCCTCTAACATTTTAGACAATAAAGCAAATACAGTTTTTATTTAATAAGGAAGCTCAAAGAAAATTGGAAGATTTATTTCACAAATGTTTCTTCTGGAAAGGCCCATATTATATTTGAATACATGTGGTTGCTATGATAGACACTTACTACTTTATATTATAGTATAAGAAATAGCTATTTTACCTTACAAGTAAACAGCTTATATAATTTTAGGTCACATCTATCCAAGTAATAGATATCATATTTTAGCCTAGATAGAAAATATTCTGTAGTGTAAAAGTGTCAAGATAAATAATTCAGATCTTTTTAACTCAGACAAACTTGCCTGTAACACAGCATGTTTGGTTTTCAATATTATTTTGTAGAATGTGCTATGTAAGCAAATGAAAGATTATAATTTTTTTGAATTCTGGTTTAAAAGATAATTTTGTTTTCTGTGTTTCTGTGAGGTAAGGCAAAACCCCTGAACAATTTGTAACAATTCTTTCAGCATGTACCATCTTTTATCTCTTTAGCATATCTACACTTTAATGCCATTTTAAAATGAATACAAGTCCAATGCTGTTTCCTTTAATTGTAACATATTATTCACACAAGAGATTAAAGGGGCTCATTGATTTCCACAATGAAGACTATACCCTGTCCTTTAGACCAGTACTTTTCAAACTTTAATGTACATTTGAATTAAGGTAAGAAACTTGTTGAAATGCAGATTCTGATTTAGTATGTCTGGGTAGAGATCAAAGATTCTAAACTTTGAACCAACTTCCTAATGAAACTTTCAGATACTGCTTGTTCAAGAACCACACTTGGAATAGTGAGCCACTGCAATTAAAAGGGTCATGACGTATGCGTGGGGAGGAAGAGTAGAGGAAGGGGGGTGTTAAAGGAACAATACAAGGTAAACAATAAAAAATGTTACAGCTTTCACCTGACAGATACAGATATTGACCTACTGATTTTCATTCTGTGATTGGTTGGTTCTTTTTTTTAAAATTAATTTTTTCATATGTATATATTTTTATTGCATTTTAGATTTGGGGGTACATGTGAAGAACATGCAAGATTGTTGCATAGGTACACACATGGCAATGTGGTTTGTTGCCCTCTTCCCTATCACCTATATCTGGCATTCCTCCCCATGCTATTGCTCCCCAACTCCCCACCCCGCACTGTCTCTCCCCTAGTTCCCCCCCACAGACCCCAGTATGTAGTGCTCCCCTCCCTGTGTCCATGTGTTCTCATTGTTCAACACCCGCCTATGAGTGAGAACATGCAGTGTTTGATTTTCTGTTCTTGTGTCAGTTTGCTGAGAATGATGATTTCCAGGTTCATCCATGTCCCTACAAAGGACACGAACTCATCGTTTTTGATGGCTGCATCGTCTTCCATGGTGTATATATGTCACATTTTCCCTGTCCAGTCTATTATCTATGGGCATTTGGGTTGGTTCCAAGTCTTTGCTATTGTAAACAGGGCTGCAATGAACATTCATGTTCATGTGTCCTTATAATAGAATGATTTATAATCCTTTGGATATATACCCAGTAATGGGATTGATGGGTCAAATGGAACTTCTATTTCTAGGTCCTTGAGGAATCGCCACACTGTCTTCCACAATGGTTGAACTAATTTACACTCCCACCAACAGTGTAAAAGTATTCCTATTTCTCCACATACTCTCCAGCATCTGTTGTCTCCAGATTTTTTGATTGAAATTCTAACTGGCGTGAGATGGTATCTCAATGTAGTTTTGATTTGCATTTCTCTAATGACCAGTGATGATGAGCATTTTTTTCATATGTTTGTTGGCCTCATATACCTCTTTTGTAAAATGTCTGTTCATATCTTTCACCCACTTTTGAATGGGCTTGTTTTTTTCTTGTAAATCTGTTTTAGTTCTTTGTAGATTCTGGATATTAGCCCTTTGTCAGATGGGTAGATTGCAAAAATTTTTTCCCATTCTGTTGGCTGCCAATTCACTCTAGTGATTGTTTCTTTTGCTGTGCAGAAGCTCTGGGGTTTAATTAGGTCCCATTTGTCTATTTTGGCTTTTGTTACCAATGCTTTTGGTGTTTTAGTAATGAAGTCCTTGCCTATGCCTATGTCCTGAATGGTTTTGCCTAGGTTTTCTTCTAGGGTTTTTATGGTGTTAGGTCTTATGTTTAAATCGTTAATCCATCTGGAGTTAATTTTAGTGTAAGGTGTCAGAAAGGGGTCCAGTTTGTGCTTTCTGCACATGGCTAGCCAGTTTTCCCAACACCATTTATTAAACAGGGAATCCTTTCCCCATTGCTTGTTTTTGTCAGGTTTGTCAAAGATCAGATGGTTGTAGATGTGTGGTGTTGCCTCTGAGGCCTCTGTTCTGTTCCATTGGCCTATATCTCTGTTTTGGTACCAGTACCATGCTGTTTTGATTACTGTAGCCTTGTAGTATAGTTTGAGTCAGGTAGTGTGATGCCTTCAGTTTTGTTCTTTTTGCTTAGGATTGTCTTGGATATGTGGGCTCTCTTTTGGTTCCATATGAAATTTAACGTGGTTTTTTCCAGTTCTGTGAAGAAGATATTGGTAGCTTGATGGGAATAGCGTTGAATCTACAAATTACTTTGGGCAGTATGGCCATTTTCACAATACTGATTCTTCCTAATCATGAACATGGAATGTTTCTCCATCTGTTTGTGTCCTCTCTTATTTCCTTGAGCAGTGGTTAGTAGTTCTCCTTGAAGAGATCCTTTACATTCTTTGTTTGTTGTATTCCTAGGTATTTTATTCTCTTTGTAGAAATTGTGAATGGCAGTTCGTTCTTGATTTGGTGCTCTTTAAGTCTGTTATTGGTGTATAGGAATGCTTTTGATTTTTCCACATTGATTTTGTATCCTGAGACTTTGCTGAAGTTGCTTATCAGTTTCAGGAGATTTTGGGCTGAGATGATGGGGTCTTCTAAATATACAGTCATATCATCTGCAAATAGAGACAATTTGACTTCCTCCTTTCCTATTTGAATACCCTTTATTTCTTTTTCTTGCCTAATTGCTCTGGCTAGAACTTCCAATACTATATTGAATAGGAGTGGTGAGAGAGGGCATCCTTGTCTAGTGCCAAATTTCAAAGGGAATGCTTCCAGTTTTTGCCCATTCAGTATGATATTGGCTGTGGGTTTCTCGTAAATAGCTTTTATTTTGAGATACGTTCTGT